GTTTTATTTGCACACATACAAGGAGTAAGGCTACAGTTTTATCACAGAAACCGGCAACTGGAATACTGTGCATAAAATCTTGTAAAGGATTGTAAAAATGTATCTAATTCCATATATTCCTTATTTTATATAAAAATGCATATGATGTGGTAACATCAAATCAAATCAGCAGCTTTCTCACTCAGTGGGTGTGTCTATACGAGACGCTTACTGTGCATTAGCCTAATAACACTGTGCAGTAGCGTGTCACAGCAAAAACTGTGCTAATAGCCTACTGCACAGTGTTATTAGGCTATTGCGCAGCAAGTGTCATGAAACCATGCGCTGGCACTACTGCACAGAGGCTCTAGATACTGTGCATTTATCTAGTTCTTTATTAAGGAAGTACTAAACCAAATGCACAGTATCTAATGCACATTAATGAACGTGTAGACGCGCTTAGTAAGGAGGTTGATAAACTGTTTGTAAGCATGAAAATATACACACATAGTGATACAGCTGTAGTTGAACAAGGAAGCAGGCCAGTGAACTGATGAAAAAAATGAGTAAAACATGGTGACAGTAAGCGTGAGAGAAATGGCAAATATACATGCTAAGCAGAAAAGAAAAAAATATCCAGCTGGGATATTTCATAAAACGGGAATGTGATGTACAATATATAATGATCCTGTACATTTCCAGAAAAAAGCAAGCTGTGACAAACATCCTGAGCATGCTTTACATAAATGAAAGCTGCATGCAGTTGAATTGACAGTAGAAAAAACAAGTAAACAAAACAAAACACGCCCCTATTTCCCCTCCAAATAAAAGAAAGCTCCAAAGGGGGTGAGCTATTTTCTGTAAAGAAATAAGAGAAAAATGCATTGAAGAACACAAGTTCATGACTTACATAGGCTTTTTGGCCAATTATGTTCCATTTTATATCTTGAATAGGCTAGTTCGGAAAAAGCACTTTGAAAAACAGTGTTGTTAGACTTTAGATCAACTGAAAGGTGTTCTCTCTTTGTGAAAGTTTCTTTTAAAGTTGTGTAAATGACCTGAAAACTTTTGAAAGAGTTTAATCTAGATGCTAATGGCAGATATCTCCTACATACTGGAGTGGTGACATACTGGATGCAGACAGAAGTGACAATTTTTGCCTGATCTGGCCACATAAAGCAGTTTATAGCTGTGACCAAACACAAATGCCTGGCTGCAAACAGCTTAAAAATGGCCAACTGGATGAAAAGCTGACCTCTCATTGCATGAGGTATCAGATAAAGATGTTAAAAAATGTAGCATCTTTTGTAACTTATGTCTGCAGAGCTGCCAGCCTGTTACTGTTTTCAGAATGGGACGGGGGTAAAGGGAGCAGAGGGAATTCAGGTTGGGGAGGGGAGGCTCCAATTCTTGGGAGCTGGGGTGCCTCAAGAATGAGTTCTCGCTGCTGCCTTTCCCCCCACCCATTCTGAAAACAGCCAACACTGGCAGAGAGCCCTGGTCATTGCTATGGGAACCTGGCACAGCTAGATTCCTTTCTGCCCTGGAACTAACAGCGAACTTCTGTTTGGTCTGGGGTAACGTTGCAACTCAGAACACTTTGCAAAAATCATTCTGAGTTACAGCTAGGAGCTGCACGTCTGTCTGCACCCATTGTTCGTTTGTAGATTCTTTACAAAGGAGGAGAGGGTAAAACTCTGTAATAAACTGTGTTTTATGGTCTTTTAAAATAGTGATATAAGCACTGGTCGAAATAGTTAAAAAAATATATGGAGTTTCCCTTGACAAAATTGCTCCTGAGCAACAAAGTTGAATATATGATAAAAACATGGGAAAAAAAATCTCAAAGCACTGTTTCTAAGTACACAGAACATTTGGCCATCTAACCTGGTGATATATGGAGAAAAACATTTGTAAAAAAGAATGACCCTTTACTGCACTAAAACAAGCCTGCACTAAAACACACATCTGCCTCAAGAATAATGTCAACTTTCACCATGTACATACAGAGAAATTAGAACACATAAATGCATAAATAATATGACTGATTTTGCTCATCTAGCAATCATAAGTGAAAACATGTTGGCCAAGAAAGCCCTTACTGAAAGCAGAAAGAAAACAAAGCTTAATATATTGTGCTACACCCTATTGCAGCAGTCACCAACCAGTAGATCTCGGAGCCTCTTGGAGTCAATTTGAGGCTGGGGTGGGGGGATGAGTGCTGAATGGGGAGAAGTCAGTCCATGGGGAAGAGAAGGGGAAGGGGCTAGATTGAGGCCCCCACAGTGAGGGACAGTGCCACAGAGGCAGAAGCAGGGGTAAGTTAAGTGGGGCCCTGGCCAGGTGGAACTTATCTGCTGCAGAGGTGCACCCCCAAATAATTGTTTTTCCCTCTGCCTCAATCTGCTCCCCCCTGTCCCACCCCACACACTTACCTGCTGGGCAGGGGGGAGGGGCAGTGTACAGTAGATCGTGGGTTGATTTTAAATTCCAAAGTTGATCTCCTACTTAAAAGGTTGGAGACCACTGCCCTACTGTTAGCCCACAGGTAAGTTTTTCAAGGTTTGCCAAACATTTGATCCCAATCAAGCAAAACAGCATAATCCTCCATTAACGCATGCTCTTGAGACAATTCCTTCAGACTCATAGGACTGGAAGTGACCTTGAGGATCATCTAATTCATTATTTGTGCAAATATAGGACGTGCTATTCCTAAACCATTCCAGACAAATCATTATACAGCCTCTTCTCAAAAACCTCCAGCAAAGGAAAGCCTAAAAGTTTCCTGGGAAGTGTTCCATTGGCCTACTGTTCTGACAGTAAGGAAGTTATTTGAAAATTTGATCTAATAAATAAGTGCTTTGCTGCTCTTTAAGCCTATTGCTTCATATTCTTCCATATGCAATCAGAAATTCCTCCTTATTCCTCCTTCCTCTTCTTTGTCTTTTTAATACTTGAAAACTGCTATCATGTCCCCTTTTAATCTTCTTTTCTCTAACCCAAGTATACCCAGTTCTCTCAAGCTTTCCCCAAATGGCTTGCATTCTAATTCTTTTACAATCTTTGTTGCTTGCTTCAGGATACTCTGGACTTTGTCTAAATCCGTCTTAAACTGTCAAACCTAGAACGACACACAATGCCCAGGTGAGGCCTAATCAGCACTGAGTAGATGGCCACTGTCACCTCCCATATCTTAAATATGCTACTTCTGTTAATGTACCCTAGGGTGACTGCATCACACTGCTGACTCATGAACAGGGATCCAGATTTTCCATTTCCTGCAGAAAAATGGTAAAAAAAAGAGCAGATTTTCCCTTTTAACTGAGAAAAACATGGATTTTTCATTTTAACATTGAAATACTCAGATATTCCACTTCTGCAAAGACCTCTCTGCAGGCTGGCAGAGTTGCAGGCTATGGGACTCGATGGCTCGTGTGGCTAGAGGGGAGCATGAAGCTTAGTTTCCCCCTCCTTTCCTGTAGCTGGCACAGCACAAGTGGAGCCAAGTAGAGCCCATGTGGGGGGACAGAGGCTGCCTACTGCAGGGCTCGGGGGTCCCTGCCCTGCTGCCCTCCCTACAGGGGCCTCCGCAGCCCAGTGTGCAGGACTCAGTGCGGGAAGGCACAGTAAGGTGGGGAAGCTCAGTGCCGCTGCCACTGCCTGGAGTCCTATGCCAGCCACACCGCTAAAGTGAGGTGCCCCCTGCCTGCCCAGTAGTGCGGGTGGCAGTGGCGGCATGTTCTACTCCCCCACTACTGTCAGGCAGATAGGACTGCCTCACCATGGTGGCAGAGCTGGTGCTGGGCTCTCAGCGGCAGCAACACCCAGCCTCCCAGCCCCACTTCACCCTCCTGTGGTGGGTCCCACTTACTGCACTGTGGAGGCCCCTGGTGGGGAGGGCAGCAGGGTGAGGAGCCCTGAGACCTGCAGGAGACAGCCCATATACTCCCCTGTCCTACAAACAAAACTGGGGGGGAGGGGGGCACATGCCCCTCCATGCTTTCCTATATATATTTTAAGTTCAATTATGCCTACTTTATAATATACCATGCAGGATGAATCTTTGAAGGACAAACTGTCATGCCATTAACCAGCATTTCTTATTGCTATTCATAAAGCAGCGTCTAATCAGAAACAGCATATATATACTAGTTTAGTGCAGCTGCTTTGCACAGCTTTTAGAGACAACCTCATGGGATTTAATGGTATGTGTGCTACTTTCTAAATGAGGCAGCATTTTAGAGTAAGAAAATGTACCATATTTTCTTGTGTACAAACATACCTTTCCCCTAAAAACCAGCTGCTGGAAATCAGAGTGTGTATTATGTGCAAGGAATATGGTAAGAGCAGTTTCTGCTACTTATCAGGTGAAAACAAAAGTAAAATCCACATTAATTCTCAGGGAGTAGAGCACTGAGCAGGCTTGGCTTTCTAACTGCTGCTACTCAGTTACTTACTATAAGTTAAGATCTTTTTCTCTTCATTCTGATGTGTATTATATTCTGGGGCTTGATGTATGTGAGGCAGTATGGTATTTCTCTCCTAAAATGTACATTGCATTCATGTATACAATACAGAATTGTGCCACATCCCTGTAAGGCAAGGAAATTGAAGGTAAATTACGAACTTGATCATTTATATATTATATCATACTCTCAAAATGACTGCCTGGCCTGCAAATTAGTCTACTGCTGAGCAATTTCAGGATGGTTCCTCTGCGTATAAGAAAATACATGCTTCCATTCTTGCCCAAGTACAACAAAAAACAATGAGTCCATCAACAGTGCCTGGTACTGTGATGGAGCACCTGGGGGCTCTGTCACTTTAAGACAGCAAGAGCCCAGGCACAGCCCTACTCAGGAGGCAGGGCAGAGCTGCAGCTGGGTTGCCATAGAGGCTGGCTGATTAAATTAATTAGAGGGCACCTGCAGGCAGCCCAGGGGAGTCACTTGACTTAAAGAGGGGCAGGGCCCCGGGAGGAATAAAAGGCGGCCCCAGGGACTGGCCAACTAGTTTGGCCATGGGAACGAAGCAAGAAGGAACTCTGCAAAGGTGACTGTGAGTACCTATTAGGCCCTGAATCAGCTAGAGAACTGAAGGCTAGCAACAGATCTAGAGCAAGGACTGGGCCAAAGGGCTTGTATTTGTGTTTTGATTCCAGTTTTACCTGGTGCTTTGTGGGGGCCTACAGGGGTGGGTTACGAAGTCTCATAACACCTGCAGGAGATGTTCAGCAGCTACAGAAAGGCAGGACTGAGAATTTGGGAGCCAGGGGGTCCAATGCCCAGGTAAGGCAGAGGCAGGGTTTGGGGCCCAGAGAGAGCCAAGGGAGGCTCAACAGCCCAAGAAGGGTGACCTGATAGTCGAAGAGGGTAAGCAGAGGACCTGGGAACCCTGAAGCTTGGTGCAGTCTCTAGACTAGAGCTAGAGGGGCTCAGCTGCAGCAAAAAAGGCATAGGCTGTCACTTGAACAATGACAGGCTCACTCTAGATTCCCCAGGCAGCCTCCCTCCTTTCCAAACAATAACATCAAAGGTGTAGTGGGCAGGTAACAGGTAAGAGCCCCCTAGAGTTGGAGCTGGGGCAGGAATTATGTGCCCACCAGGGGGTGTCACAGCTGCCCCTGGGACCTGAACAACCTGTTGCATATACCTATGAATCTGACAGCTTTGTCAGATGACTTCTAGCCTAAACTTGTGTGAAATCATTTTTAAAAAGTGGATGTAATTTGTACAACAAACCAGAAATAGTCTTTATCCATGTCAGACGCCAAACATGTTACACTCTTGTCAAATGTTGTCGTTAAGAAAAATGACGATAACACACAGTATTTCACACTACATCTCTAAACTAGTGCCATGGTGTTGCCTCAAATTAACATGAGTATATTTTCACCAGCTCTTGATGCTTTGAACTGGAGAGTATATTTACAAATGTATTTTCTTATTTGCAAGATTAATGAGGGACCTCTTAGAAAACAATTTTAACTTCTGAGTATTTTTTCCCATCAAACAGCTTAATGAATAGCACTTGTGTCTCTATTTCTCAAAGATAGTTATACATACCTACTTTTCACTAAGGTCCTAGGGAGAGAGAACATTCAAAGTACAAATCCCAGACTTCCTAAAGAATGATTTCCATGTAACATTTAACAGAGCCCTTTACATCTGCAACCACAGAGGTGAATCCTTCACGGTGAAAATATGTAGACAGTGACCAAACATTTCCAAGAACTGCATGCTGAACGTTAGTAAATATTTGAGGAAGAGCTGCAGATTTCCACAAGAGAATTTTTTAGCCCCCATGTCCAGGACCACTTTTCCAAGGATTTCCACAGTATATCAGCTTACAGCTAGACATATACACTAGGCATCTGTACCATCTACTTATCTGAAGTCTGAAACTTAAATTTATGCAGTAGTGGTTGTTTATTTGCAACTTTTGCTAAAAAAATTCAGTAGAATTAACAATAAAACTATATTGTATAATAATAAAGTTGTATGATTTGTGGTTATTGGTAAAAGTATATAATAATTTTATGTATTTTACTAATTTTAAGGAGCAGTACAGTCAAATATAATATATAAAGATGCATATGAATAAACAAAATGAAGCAATGTAAAATAGTAGAATAAAAAAAATAAAGACATGGAATTCAATTTGACTGGCCCTTATTTGTTGTACGAGTAACACCAATACCTATGCAGTGTAGGACAGGCTGCAAGTTGTTAGAAAGGAGTCATAGTTGTCTTGTCTTCATTAGCCCAGTATTTAATTTTCCACTAATGAAGAGATCAACTTCCTTCTTACTTTTTTTTCCCCCCAAAGAACAAAGGGGACCCCAAATGTAGTCAGGTCATTTATCTCATTCCTCCTGCAAGAGTGCATCCTATCTGAATATGGGGTCCATCACTACCTCCTCATGACAACTGCAGATCTCATTAGAGTGAACAGCAGTCTTATAATGGCCTCTCATTGTCTGTGGCTCTGTACTTCAGATGGATAGATAAGTTTCTAGGCCAAAGGGGTGCTTTATTAATTTAAAAAAGGGAAAGTTTCAGAGAATCTCACTGCCTGCATAGTTGTCTGCTTCCTGGCATTTAATTCTTAAATTTTATTTCTTGTCTTTAAATATGGGGGGAATACTGGTTTAGTAGCTGTCAGCACATTTCCCAGTCTCTTTCTCTGCAGAGTATAAATGGTATTTAACCATACAAATAAGGGTTTATTCAAAGGAAAAAAGGCTTCTAAAATACACTTCTCAGGTTGTCTGATAGGGGTACAAACTCTAACTTTTTTAAACCAATAATTTAGAATTCTTACATGAACTAAAGCACTCTCATTGTGAAGCCCTGTTTTGGACTACATAAATGCTTCTCCCCCCACCACTGTAGAGTTTGGTAGAGATATAAAGCATCTTAAAAGTAATTTAATTTCATTCTATTTTAGAATGAACTACAGGGTCAGTATCCCATAGTTCCATACAATAAAATGGGCTTTACCTTAGAGCTATAGATCTTTAGTGCTGCCAGTACTGCCCTCCTACCAGTCTTATTGTAAAAAGACAACTCCCCTCTTTCCTCCTTGTCTTGTTTTAATGCTTACATTTTCAATGTGCTTATTGTAGCTCAGATTTTTATTTAAATACCTCAGAATCTATTTTAACGAGGACACTGCTTCTTTTTATTTTCTGCAAAAAAACATATTCTTTTCTTCCTTTCATTCCCAAAAACCAATGCTTTGGATTTAGTAGTATTGATTTTCAAGATATTTGAAATTTGAGCTTAATTTGAGCATTTTTGATGTTACACTTAAGGAACATAATGCTTCTTTACTCTTTGAACTCAGTATAATTTGTTGGTGTGTGATATACAAGAAATGTACAGGAATTCTATTTACTACATTAAAAAAATTGTTCTAGGTGTTCTGAACACTTATACTTCTCGACTTTAAACTCCTGACCTGCAATTCATTATCCATGCAATTGAGTTTTTTTTGTTCACACATTTTATACTAATGAAGTCTCTTTGAACTCTGTCCTGTTAAAGTGTTGAATAGTCTCCAAGACTAAGTGGGTGGGGAGAGCCAAGTACTCCTCACTGGAAGAGGAAAGGACTTCAAATATACAAATGCATTTATCCCCACTATTATTTCTAGAATCTAGACCTTTTTCTGTTATGAATAATTTTTTTATATAGAAGATAATATCTAGTTAATATATTTACTGAGCACTAAACAACTGTTAGTTGAAAACTAGGGTTTGTCCTAGTTTATCTGTAGCCAAATTGTCTATAATGACTTCGAGAGAATTGAGTTCTGCAGTATAAACAAGGTTAACAAAGGTCAGTAGTGTATCAAGCAGGAATACTGATACCCAAATACTTGCATAGATTAAAAAATATCTCTGATTTATACCTCAGTTGTTTGCGTAGCTGTTCTAGTTCCACGTTCTGTTCTGTTAGTGTTCTCAGGAATTGCTGGTTAGCCTACAAAATGAGGAAAGAGCTGTAATTTATTCCTTCTTCTACAGAAGACTACTTGTATGCTCTCGTATACTCTTAAGTGACGAGTACTACTTTTGGATGCTGGGTTAAAAGAGGGTTCCTTATGCATGCTACTAACAACTAGCATACAAATGCATTATAATGTTCTAGCAAATTGCCCATCAAGAATGGCGGGGGGGGCCACTACCCACCTCCCCCTTGCCACTTTGAGCCAGGTCCGGGTCCCCCCTGCCCTACCGCTTCAGGTTGGGGCTGGGGCCAGGGCTGGTGCCCCACCCCACCACTTGGGGCTGGAGCTGGGCCCCCTGCCCCATGTCAGTTGCCACTGTCACCTCATGCCGCAGAGGGTGAGGCCAGCTCCAGTGGCCTCCCCTACACTCGGTTGCCACTGTCATGGTAGCTTGGCTGCCAGTTCCTGTCCGAACACTCGCACTCCATTTGATTGTTTCAGACAACCAATCAGTGTGAATAAAGCATTATGGACAGACAGACTAAGACTTTTATTATAATAGAATGCATTTATACTTCTATTCTATTTGGGTTTGCTTTTTATCTTGTACAAGTTTACAGCAAGTTTTATGTTGCACAAGATCTTTCTCAGGCATCCTATTTGGTTAGGCAACATACTAAAAATGGAATTCATTAAAGCAGTATTTTTTTCATACCTCTCAATTCTTTTTTTGATATGTTTTCTTAAGTTATACTTGATTTTCTAGCCAAATTAATCTATGTGTTGCAAAGGCTGGGGGCTATTCAGCGGACCATAATTTGTACTGATGATAACTTCTGGAGTATTACAAAACATCCAACTCTCGCATGATTCCTGTTTAAAACCATTTAACAAGAAGTGTCAAGCTTATTTGCATAGAAGGCCAGATTCTGCTTTTAATTTATAATCTGTGAGTGAAATGATAAATATTAGCATTGCAGAATACCCTGAATCTGCCACCTAACTTCTGCTGCTGTCAAAAGGAAATGAACGCAACCATCAAGGCTAGGGACAGAAGTTACACACAAATTGATTTAAGTGATCAGAAACTGGTCTAATAATGTAACATAACAGATGTTCAGTGCACATAAACCAGTTTCAAAATCACTGTAACTAGTTTAAGATAAACCTAGTTGAATGTATCAGATGCAAGTGATTTTTGGGTCAAACTGGTTCATGAAACTTCTGTCCCAGATCCCTTCCTGGTTCAAGTTAAATTACAGTCTTCCAGCATGCCCTGCAGCCCTGAACTGGGCTGCACTACCTGCTTCAGAGCAGGGCTGAGCCAACCCCTCTGCTCCCTAGCTGGAGCAGTGAGGGCTGGTTGACAAGGGAGGGAGACAAACCCAGCTGGGGATGCAGACTAGTCTATGGGGGGAGGGGAGGGGACTGCCTCCCCTCTTCTCTCTCTTCTTCCCTGGCAAACCCCAGCTGGGGTCTGGGGCCAGGGAGGGGGGGTTAAAGACCCTTTCCCCAACTCAAACATATTGCTGGCTGCAACTGTGGACTACAAATCCCAGAGGCACCTGGAAGCAGAAGGAAGTGATGAGCAACCCTCCAGTGTCCTGCTGTTGTAATTCTGGACTGCATATCCTTGTCCTGCTGCCCCTTGGATGTCTGGGAAGTGAGCACACAGTAAGAGCTATGCTTTAGCACCCCCTGGCTTCTGGACTGAGCCACTACAGGCATGTGGCTGCATTTCCTGAATCAAAGGTAAATGTCTGTTTGCTTCTGTCTTCAACTTTTTAATCTGTGCAGTTTAAACTAACCTGCAAAGACTGAATCGATTCAGCCTTGGGCTTTTTGACTGTCTGTACCTGGCCCAAAGGTATATTATGGCCTTTGAAGAACTGACCTTTCAAGACCTAACTCCATAAACTACCATGCAAATAGACACTTTTGCCTATGTAGGAGCCCAACAATCTCTAAGATATCACACTAACAAAATATTTGTCAATACTGAGATCAGATTTGGAATCACCATTAATTTTGTTCGGTATTTTTGAGCATTTTATTGTTACCCAGTAGGAAAATATACTGATATTTACCACAACTACTATTTTTGCCCTTATATTTCACTTCCTTCCCCCATTTTTCTATCATTTTCTTCTTTGTTGGCTTTCCTTAGTCATGCATTTTCTTCCCTCAATTTTAAGTTCTCATTGTGTGCAACTTTGATAAGAAAGGTTGGAGAGGGAAGAAAAAAATGCCACTGATAACCATCAAGTCAAATCAGACTATCAAGTTTCAAACAGCTTATTAGTGATTGTCCAATCCAAGATATTTGGAAGAGGGGTGTGACTTTCAGGAAGTGCTGAGTACTAACCCACTGAATATCAAGCTCTCCTAAAAATACATTGCAATAAAATACTAAAAATATACACACAAAAACATCTTGTTACTCTTGAACTGAATCTAACTGAAGCAAAAAACAACATACAAAAAAGCACCCAGAAGCATGGATGATGAAATTGGCCAACACAATTGGCACTGAAAAACTCCTACAGAGATGGACTGTATAATATGAACACAATGTGGATCTATGAAACACTTAAGCTTGGTGCAGAACTGGCCTAAAGGCTCCAATTACAGGATACCTGGAAATGTGGAAAATCTAAGAGGTCTTAGGTGCTTAAGTGATCTTATTCCAGCCTCTTTTTTACACAGAACAAGTCCTATGCTCTTTTCATAAAGTACATGCAGAAGGAAAAAAGTGAGAAGACAACTATGATGTACAGAAACTCTATCAAGAAATTTTTGGCATGAGCTACTGGCTAGTGGAGTTACTATGGGAAGAAGAAAAACAATCCAGTCTTTAAATGTTATTCTTGAATACAGCAAAGCCTGCTGGTTTCGAGAGTAATAAACCAATCAAAATAACTGGCAATGAGGCCCAATCATACTTTTATATTTCCAAACAATTAAAAAAAAAAAAAAAAAAAAAAAAGAATATTATCCAAGCACAGAAAAAATATGTTGTCTGGTCTATGCTCCCCTCCATTCCATTAGAGACTTACAGAGCATAAAACAATTTAGTATTTTGAAAACGGTTCTGATGTACTTGCTTACCAACTCTGTTTTCTCATTGGCTAAATGACGTTGCTTAGTTAGTTGTTGAAAGCCATTCAGCTGATCCTAAAAAGAAAGTAGAGCTTGAAATAGTCGTCTTTAAGAGATCTTTAATTATCATAGACACATTTATGTTCAACTGAAATAATTTCCAACAAATTGTGTCTCTATTTTATGGAATCAATGTTTTATCTCTTTTTAACTAGTTATTATCAGCAGCTCACCTATGATTTTACCGGTAAAGTCTAAAGCCATAAGGGAAAAATCTAATCAGTCACATGCCTCCTAAATGGATACATTCATACAGTAAAAAACCCAAAATCTTAATGTATACCTGTATATTACTTCTAAGCCGCTCCAGACTTTTAGCAGACTATTTTTATTAGAAGCAGAATATATAGACTTGCTTATGCACATATAACCTTTCTGTAATTCCCTATATGCATTTAGGTCATTCCTTGGACTCTTGAATGCCTCATTATGGCTCTTGTGGCTCCTGTGACTAAGCTATAGGACAGCTTATTTGAAAATGCAAACAAAAGGAGTTGGGGGGAAGGTGGAAAGACGGAAAGACAATGCCTTCTATTCCTTAAGTACTTTGCTAGGATATGATTTATGGAAAGACAGCTCTATGCAGCACCATTCTACAATTCCTTCTAAAAATTGAATGGCATTCTCACTCTACCTCACTGTAATTTACTACTATATAAAACTACACTTGGTATGCATGGATCATCATACTGTCAATGGATTTATTGTTCAGTTATACTATAGTGCATGTAACTGCCATAACCCAAGTGGGGTTGTGGCAATTAAGAGTGGAACTGTAAGCCTGGCAGAATTGTGTAGTAGCATCTGGTGTCACAAACCCAACAGAAGTGAAGCTTGCAAACAAATTGGGGACACGGCTAAAAACAGTTTTGGGAACTACTCTTCTAAGCACAAGGTATAGGTGAACGATGGCAGTGAAATACAAATTATACTACTTTGAATCAAACTATACACTCTGAATTTATCCCAGATACAATGATGGACCAAAAGAAACAAACGCAAGGGAAGTTACTTTTTGCTTTTGCCTTTCAACCGTGTGAATGTGGGTTTCAGTCATGTATTCCTGGTACTGCTGCTGGAGTCGATCTAGTTCCTGTGATACTGTCTGCCAGAGTTCTAGTGCTTGTTCTTTTTCCTAGGAAATTTAAAAACAAAAATAGAGAATGTTATACATGTGTAGCCTTACAAAAAGACATGTTTATCTTAATTGGAAATGATATCTTGCTTCCACCAAAGAGCTCCGAGCTCCAAGACTGTCCAACTCAGTTTCTATATTTGTTGGCTATTGTTATTCAACTCAATTGCCAAATTCAGCTATTAGTTATATGGATCAGTTCCCAAAATAGTTATGAGAGCTACACAAGAGAGCATAGCCCCTCATGTACAGAAGCATGGACATGAGGCAGTACTTGCAGTAATGGTCTTGGATTAGAGAACTGCATACATCTTTCCTACCCTAAATTTAATTAATTTGAACCTTCAGTGGTCCTATTCTACATTTTACTGTTGTTTTGATCAAAGCTATATGCCAAAATGATGGCCAATACAATGTCTAGAAATATATTCATCACAAGATGTTAGAAAAGCCTTCTGTATTATCCCATGACAATTTCTTCTTTTTAGTCGGGCAATTAAAGGAATAAATCAATCTAGCAATTAATGGTACAAAATGCAATAACTTTCTTGAAACATTCCAATGACAAATTCTCTTCCAAATCTTGGAACCACAAGTAAGATACTAAGTATCAGCAGAACAGAAAATAGAATACTTTTCTAAATATTTAATCTAAAAAGATTATAATTAGAGTTTCTTTACCAAGGGATTAAATGATTTTCCCTGACATGCCAAGGAACAAGCCGAAGATAGATATATAGCAGCATTACTCACTTGATTGGCTAGATGTAACTGGTCTTGGAGGTTTCTTATTATGTCTTCATCTGCAAATACATCGCTTCCCAGAAAAGTACTAGGAGGAAGGGTTTCTAACTGTTTCTCAACAGCTTCCTTCAGTTCTTCATGCAGCCTACAATACATGTAAAGAAACTTTTACTATGTGTTGTTTTTTGTTTTGTTTTTTAAGACATTTGGAATAGCACAAGTATAACTGATGTGAAACACTGACTACACCTAAAATAGAGCTTGACTGAAAATATATTAGACGTATTTCAAGTTGTTAGCCTTTTTTTTTAAGGTCTTGTCTGCATTAAAGTTTGCAGGTTCAACTATGTCTGTGGTATGTGGGGGGCCGGGAGGGGGGTCCTATCCCCTATAACAGACAAATCTATATCAGCAAAGGCCTGGTGAGATGCAGCTCTGTTGGCAAAAGATCAGCTTCTGCTGGCAGCATTTCTGCCATTCAGGGATGCTGGTCTAACTCTGGTCCCACCCCCACCCAAAAAAATAAAAATCTGATATATCTACACCAAAAGACTCTGCTGGCATACTTGGGCAGAAGCCCTGTAATACAATGTAAAGTTTAGTGTAGTACTATAGAAATAAAAACAGAGTTAATTTAGCATGTATAAAAATGTCTATAAATACACTGAAAGTTATTACTGTTTAACTTTCTCACAGAGCTAACAGATGCAAGCAACAACCTTGCTTCCTTCTTTCTTCTGCAATAACAGTGAGCTCATACTGTTCAAGTTGACTTCATCCAGAGGTTCAAATACTAAGACTAGAAAGAATGCCTATGGCTTTGCAAGCATTGATATGGTATGTACTCTGCTGCTTTAATAGAAAAATAAGTTACTACTTGTTTTTCTTTGATATTTAATGTGATATGCAAATGTGGTAGTTAGGAGTCTAAGCAAGACTTTCATTATGAAACACCATCTTCAAGATTATTTCCTCTGAAACTTCTTTCTGTGAAAGCATATACATGATGTTTTAGTTATTTCTGAGTTGGCCAGAGATTGAGGAAAAGATTTAGTATTCAAGTTGCTAGGTGCTTTTTATTACATAGAAACTTGGAAACTATTTCAATTCTAAACATTTAAGTCATCAAGAAAAAAAGCTGAAATGTTTTAATAGACTCATTAACTTGTAGTAATATATTTAGTCAAGACAGCAAAATAAATAATAAAGCTGTACTTAAATCTGATCAAAGCAATTGCTATGAAGCATGTCAACTGCCACTCATTGGAAAAAGACTGGAGTCCTGCAAGACTAGAAGAATTTTGCAAGTTTGCCACTACAACTAAATGGAATATATAAGACTGACAGTGAACTTGTTGTTGCCTTCCTCCCCTTTCCAAAGAAGAACAAGGCTTTGTAAGCATTCCAGAACTGTGTGGTAGGATCTGGTTTCACAAACCCAGCAGAAGTGAAGATTGCAAATAAAAGTGGGGTCACAGCTAAAAACAGTCTAGGAACTGTTGCTTTAAGCACACAAGGTATAGGTGTATGACAGAAGTGAAATACAAAGTATGTCACCTTAAATCAAACTACACACCAACTCTAAATTTATCTAGAATACAATGGTGTGCCGTAAGAAACAAGGAAAATTTCTTTTTGCTTTTGCCTTTCAAAGACTGTCAAGAGGTGTAAAACAATTTTTTTTTTTAAACAGAAGTGTGAAAATTGTAGAGTGCAACAATTAATAACAGCATATGCTGTTACAATGCAACCATTAGGTTTACATGATTCTACAGACACACAAAAATAGCAAAACTGCCCCAACTCCAGCCCTGCTTCTCTCTGGGGACATTAATATTGTTTTAAAAATTGTTTAGCTTCCTCTAATTATATTAGTTAAACAGTTGACCAGTTAACACATGTCTAATCCAGATTTGGTGGGGGTGGTCAGAGCCCTGGTGCCTGCCTTGACCTGCTGCTGGGGAGTAGGGGATCCTGCCTGGAGCCGTATGGAGAGCCAGGGGCTGCACACAGACCTGTTTGGACACAGCTGGTGCTGGGAGCAGGTCCCTGGGGCCTTGGATGGGGGCAGGCAGCAGCAGTAGTGGCAAACCCCACCAAACAGCATATCCCAGGTGAAGCTGTGGACAGCAGCAGCAGGCAAGAGGCTTTCTCAGCCCACTGCAGCCACTGGCTCACTGGGAAGAAGGGAGCAGGCAACATGAGTTGAGGTTGGACTTAAACTTTAAATAGCCTGTTATATGGGTACTAGTTCCCTGCCCCTCTCCCATGCCCTTGCTCCTCTCCCACTCCTGCCTGCCCTGCCACCCCCGTTTGTGAGGCACTGCGCCACTTCCCTTCTCTCCTGGACAGTGCCCTGTGCAAAACGTTAACTGGTAATGCATTACTACTATAAATTTAACCTTTCACATCTTTACTTCACTCATGTTCAAATTGGGTAGATTGTCTAAACTTGCATCACTACATTATCATTCAGATGTAACAGATACAACATAATGCGTAAGGCATGCTCCTAAGCAGCAACTCGCTTTTTAAAGTGGCTAAAATATATGTTTATCCATACTCCTAAATACAGTGCCAGAGGAAAAGTCCTTTTAACCACCAAGCACCAGCTCGATGCTATAGATCTATACATCTCACATTCTATTTAACAGTAAAAAACACAATTCTTTCTTCTTTGCTAGACTGCAAGGAGAACTGCTTGACTGATTTTTGTGAAAGCGGGTATGCGTTTCAAAAATAACTTGGGGAGAGGGGAATGAAATAAAGTAAGAAATGATTTTCACCTTTAGTGCACAATGCAAGGGAACATGTGGTAAGAGCAGACACTAACATTAAAAAGGGTGCAGAGATTTACTTGATTCCCCAAAAATTGTAGGTGCCAAGCTAATTCAGTTTATAATTTCATTACCCGATTAATTATTTATAAAACTTAGTTGGTAATAATATAATCCAAAATAAACCTTCTTTACTTGCCAAGTTTCAAAATTTCGTTTTCAAAAGTGGGGCAGAAGAGAGAAAGCATGGCTTTTACTTAAAAGCTGCAGGAAAAAAGTATTCCTAAAACTTGCATTATTCCAACAATTGAATTTATTTCTAAACTTCGTAAAACTGGTGATTTATCGATACTCTACTCTAAATGATCTTTTCAGTAGAATGTTTTGGAAAGTGTCAAATGTGTAAGCAGTTTATTACTTATTTTTGTGGCCTTAATATTATTTACTTGATGGGAAATATTTTCTTGTGCATTACACATTATCACTCCCTTGGGTGGGGGGGAAGGAGGTAGGGGGGAAGGAGAGGGGAGGAAGAAACCCTCTCCTACTCACTAGATATGTTTATAGGTACAGAAACATGTAAATAAAAATGTATAAAATAATTAAGCTTTTACAGCATTGAAATTTAGTACCGTGCCTCCCATTTAGTAATGCAAACACAAAATCAGGTACAAGTACACTTGGCTAAAATTTCAAAACCTTGATGCCATAATTCATATTATGCACCCACAATACACAGGTTCAGAAATTTATTTCCAGGTCTCTACAAAGACATTTATTTTTTAGACTCAGAAACAGGAAAAAATGGTAATGATTAATCTACCTTTCATTTTCCTTGATGACTTGTTCAAGCTTCAGTCTCATCTCGCCCATCTGTACCTGACAGAATAAAACCTGAGACTGAGCTTTCATATGTAAATCTCAGAGCTACCAATCAGTCAAGTAACAGACTGGAAAGCACACTGATAAAACACTCCTTGAACTTCCTAAAGCTTAGCACCAATTATTTCTGACTCGCATTAATAAAAATAGACAATGCAGCATGGTGGACAAATAATGTAGTATTTATTTTGCATGAGAATTCACAAGATGCAACTTAAGTCCAGATAATTTGTAGATCGTATTCAAATGTGCTTAAAATCATTCCATTCATGTTTATGAAAAAACTGCACAATAAATATTTATACAGTTTGCAAAATCTTAGGCGAATGAACGCTAATAGTAAAGTTATCATTTAGATTTGAATTTTGTAATTTTACATAGTTTTTACTAATGACAGTCATATCCAATATAACTTTCTGCCTTAAATAGGCACAGAAAAGAATAATGTTTCTAATTTTAAGAGAAGTTTCTTAATTTTTGAAGCTCTAGGCAGTAAGAGCACTTCTTTTTTTAATTGTTTTTCATTTGGTCATAAATTATTACCTAAAGGACTGAAGCATCAGGAAGAGCAGACCACTTCTACAATTATCTGAACTAGGCAAACTGAGTCAACATGTGTAGACTGTCTGGCTGAGAGAGCCAACAAAAAGACCAGATATGCTACAGCAACATTTCCCCTCGGGTTTATATCCATCCATTTGCATAACCAATTTTCCATTTAAATGGGTCATTGGGAGGGGGGTGGGTGGAGATATGATGTACAAAGAGGAGATCTAGAAGAGTTTGGGCATGCTGCTGCTGACTTTCTGCCCCTCCACCACCAGGAAGTACAGTGGAAGGTGAAGGAACTTTTTTCTTTCCTCCCTCAAGATGAATATTGGGATATGAAATTAAAAAGTAATTGCTGAATAATAGTCACTGTTGCCTCTATCTCTGACCAATATCTGAAATTAAGAAGCTAATTTAATCTGTGTTCCCATCAAATCTCCTTCACCACTAATACTCGTTTCACCTTGGAAAAGAACCTGTAACTAGAGGCACACTGATACACCAGTCCAATTATCGGATCGGTACAGATTGTAAAGAAAATTATCTCTATCGGCCTTAGGTGGCCCATAATTGGGCTGATGAAATGCAGCCGCAGTGCAGCATGTAGGCTGTGAAGACACAGATTGCAGCTGGTAAGTCAGGGAAGGGAAGGGGGTGGGGGACACAGATCAAGGCCCTGCCGTGAGGGAGGGAGTAAAGCTGGGGCAGGGGCAAGCACGGGGGGGGGGGGTGGAGGATAAAGCCTCAGCTTGTCTGGGGGCCTGGAATGGAGCAGGGCTTGTCTGGGGGAGGGGGAGGGGGAGGCAGCTCCTACTACTACTGCTGTCATTTACATGGGGAGGGGGGTGTGCCCCCCAGATCTGGGCGGGCTGGGGCTGTTCCCAGCGGAGGCTGGGCTGGAAGGGGTGCGGGGCAGGCAGTGGCGCTGCTGGAAGCAGGGGGACTGAGGAGGGCTACCCTTGGAGTGGCTGCAGCCCAGGCTCCGCTGGGAACTGTCCCACGCAGATCTGGGGCATGACTGGGGCTAGGGAAGTTCCCAGAAGAGCCTGGGCTGGGCAGGGGGCAGTGCCACTGGAAGGGGGCTATAGTGGAGGCTGCAGCCACCCTGAAATTAGCCATAGTCCCCTCAGCTCCCCCATTCCCGGCAGCACTGCCACCCATCCCATGCCCTGCCTGGGTGGCCCAGATTCCATGGGGAACAGCCCTGGCACCAGCCTGCCTTGCCCAGTGCAGATCTGGGGGCACTCCCCCCCGGGATGAGTGACCGCAACAGTGGTGGGAGCTGCCAGACCAGTCATGCGTGGTGGCGGGAGCCACCTCTGCCTCCCTCTCCCCCTCCTCCTGTGCCCCCTGGATAAGCCAGTTTGTTATACTTTCATAATAATAATGTAAAAAGGATGGCAAGCCTTGGTGTTTGACTAGGCAAACTTTTTCTTTGTTTTTGTTCCCTTCTAGCATTAGGGTCTTGCTGTGCAGGATGCTAACTAACAGCTCGGCTCTTATTGATGCAGTTCCTTGCATTACTAGAACTGAAAGTATTTACTTTACAATTATTAAGCCAGCATTAAGTCCAAGATGCAAATCTGTTCATACAGCTAGATATTTTCTGATTGTATTTGTTAGAAAAGAGATAAGCAATCTAAAATATGAGTAAGATTCGTACCTGATAGAATCGCAACTGTTCACTCATTTCTTCCAGATGTTTATCATGTTCAGCAACTAGAGGAGACAAGCTAAAAGTGGAAAACTGTGTAAGATGCACAACTATGGATGCTGACACACTGTTCTGATAATTACATGATTCCTACAGAATGTCTTGATTATACTTGAGAAAAAACACAGTTCACATATTTTCCTTCTTGCTTCCTAGTGAAACCATAATGTAAGCAAAATCAAATTAATAATTTTTATTAGCTTCATAACTATGCCTTAAAATTAGTAAAGTCACTTGCAAAACTCTTAATCTTTTTCTGCCATATCAAAACTGGATACTTGAAATACAAAATTGATGCCAGTGAAGCATTAATATTATACACATCAAAATATTAAACTTCAACATAGAACCTGAGGTCTCCCTTTTTCATAGAGATAAGAATTAACCCATGAAAGGCAATTAAAAGGACATAAAACAACAGAAGGGTACACCTTTTTTCTCCTTGTAGCTGCTTTTCCTAATGCACATCTTCCTACTGCCCATCATTAGTTGTTCACATTTTGCTTCCTGACTAGTTTGCATTAATATTTAAGTCATGTGTAAATCTGACTCATTGTCCACATGTTAAACGCTAAAGTTTTCTAATTTTTTTAAATATTTATTTTATCCCTTTTTCTCTTTATACAGTTTAAAATATTGCAAAATAAGATCTAGGGGCTCTTCCATAAATGAGGATGGGGGCAATCATGGTGCCACTTACCAAGTATTTGAACAGTAAGACACGGTACGTACTTTAAGAGTTTACAAGGTAACTGGACAAGAAATATTATTAAAAAAGGAGCACCAAGGGAATGATATACTAGTCAGCCTAACTTCAATCCCTGGAAAGAGTCTGGAGTAAAAAAACAAAACAAACAAACAAACAAAACCCAACAACCCCACAATGCATTTGTAAGTACCTAAAGCACAATTAGGTGGTAAAAATATCCAGCATAGGCTTCTCAAAAATCAAGCATATCAGACAAATCTCTCTTACTTGTATAGAATGTTAGGTAGCCTAGTGCATAAAGGTGTCACAACCCAAAGGGTGTGATTTTTGTTTTTGTGTGCTTCGGCACTGCTAAATTGTTCCCGCTAAATTACAGCTTCTTTGCACGGTGGAGTTTTCTGCTGCAAAAGAGAACCCTGGTGCAAGAGAGAATTTCCCGCCAATTTGAAGCTTTCTTTGCAGGGTGCATTTCTTTGTTGCAGCACAGAAATGCTCGTTGCAAAGAGTTCCCGCCATTTGTATGCTAATTCGAGTCCCATTATTGGCCAGTTCTAAATTATTCACCCGTGGCGGCTAGTGATTGGCTTGCTAGCCGTATAAAAGGCTTGAGTGGTTTCTGCCCAAGTTGGAGGACTCCACGAACACCAGGGAGGAGGAGACTTCACGCTGTGTGAAGATCTCCATGCGCTGCGGATCCTTACGGACCCAGTGCATTTCAAGCAGGCAACAGAGGTCTGATCAACCTCTAGCCTCTCCCCGTCGCCGATCGCAGCCTAGATGTATCCCTTCTTGCGCGCAAAAGAACCGGACCCACGGAGCCTAACAAACTTCGTGTGAGTCCTTGCCGGATGACCTCAGAGCTCTTCTACCCGGGTTCGAGTCCTGCAGGTTTATCTTCCCGTCGCCGAAAACCCATTGCGACGTACCCTCGTGTTTTGCATCTTCCTGTCGCCAAAAACCCCTTGTGACGTACCCTCGTGCCCTGCAGGTTCGAGTTTTGTTTTGTTGTCTGTCTGTAACCGCAACTCAAGCAAGTTTTCCAGCCTACACCACTGCCATCTCGGTGTAAGTAAACAATCTTTTAAACTACCGCTAAGCGTTTGTGCCTAATTCCAGCTCGACGGCCTTCCCTCTCCGACCCGGCGTGCCCGGGCTGCTGGCCACAGCCCGCGTGCAGCACGGAAAAGGGCTCGGGTCGCTCCCGGCCCGCGCAAAAGGTAAAGCAGTTCATGTGATTATTCCTTGACTTTATTAAAGCTTTTGGCACTCTTCCATCAGATATTCACAGAGCAAAACCAAGGAAATACAGTTTACATGTTTTGCATGGGTGCAAAAATTAGTGGAATACTGTTGTCAAAGAAGTGTTATCAATGATTTACTATCAAACTTGAAAATAGGGGTGCACAGATAAAAACTTTTTTGGCTGATACCGATGGCCAACTATTAACTAGGTATATCAGCTGATATGGATCCGATATGCAGTGCCGCAGCTTGGAGAGAAGCCTCCTGCTGGTATGTCTGGGGGGAGAGGGGGGTAAGGAGTGTGGAAGAGGGAAGGGGGGGGCAGATCAAGGCCCCCAAGGTGAGGGAGGAAGTGGGGCAGGGGCAGATCCCTGGGGGAAAGGGAAGGCAGCACCGTGCTGGGCTGCACTGCGCTGTGGTCAGGCCGGGCAGCAGCAGCGCTGGGAAGGGGGAGCTATGGCAAATTTTCAGGTGCCTGCAGCCCCCCACATAGCTCTGCTCCTAGTGCTGCCCAGCGCACCCCAGCCCTAGCCTGCAGCAGCAGCTGGCCCAGCCAGCATGCTGATCCAGGGGCACATGATCCCTGTGCCCTCCTAGGGTGCATGCCCTGCCTCCCTGCAACCTCTAGACAAACTGCTCATGGCTACATCCCACAAGCAGCTGTGCAGGACCTGCCCCTGCTCCAGCCCCATTCCCTCCCTTTCACAGCTGCTGCAGCTGCCCGCACTGCATTTGTCGGGGGAGCATGTGCCTCCCCATCTGTGAACAGTGGAGGCAGCTGTCACTGCGGGCTGGGCTTTGCACCCCAAGCCCCACTGCAGCCTGACGTCACATGTCCCACCACTGGGCTGAGCATTGTTCCCTGCCCGCGCAGCAGCTGGATGCACATGGTGCTGGGCCACTCCTGGGTGGGCTGCAGTGGGGCTCAGGATGCCTAGCCTGCAACACAGCTGCCTCTGCTGTGCACAGATGGGGGGGGGTATGTACCCCCCCGGGTCCTCTGTTGGGGTGCGCAGTGGCAGGAGACCCCCCACGTCCCTGGATGAGCCACTCAGGCTCGATCCTCCCGCCACCTACCTGGCCAGGGTCCCACTCAACTTACCTCTGCTCCTGCCTCTGCAGCACTCTGTCCCTCATCGTGGGGGCCTTTATCTGGCCTCTGCCCCTTCCCTCCTCCATGGACTGACCTGTTGGGTGGGGTGCGTGTGTGCATGCATGCACACATACGCTCAGCCTCCCACCCAGCCTCAGATTGACTCTAAGAGGCTCCGAGATCTACCGATTTGATCAAGACTGACTGGTTGGTGACCACTGTGATACTATGGACTAATATTGGTGCACCTATACTTGAAAGGCAACTTAAGTGGGTCACTTGTTCAGTGTTCTCCTTTACATCATAGACTATGGATATTAAAAGTGCATGTTCTTACTATCTGCAAATAACAAGAAGTTGGGAAAGGTTGCAAGCACTCTGGAGTACAAGATTGGGACTGAAAACAATCTTGATAAATTGGAGAAATGACTTAAAATCAACAAGATGAAATTCAGTTAAAGGAAGTGCAAAGTCCTACATGTCAGAAAGCAGAAGTCAAACATGATGTGATGCTGCTGCAAAAAGAGAAACTCATCCTTGGATGCATTTATGTGAGTTTGTAATGTAATATAAGACAGATGAGGCAACTATTCTCTACTTCATGCTGGTGAGGTCTTGGTTGAAAGAGCTTCTCAAATTTGGAAGACCAGACTTTAAAATGTAGACATACTAGAGACGATTCAGAAGAGAGCAACAAGAATAATAGGAGGTTTAGAAAACATGACCCACGTTGAAGGTCTGAAAGAACTTAATTTAAGTGTAAAAAAGAGAAGACTGAAGATGTCAAAACAAAGCATAAAATATTAGGTCAAGGCAACAGTCTTTTAATATATAAGAAGGTGGTATGAAAAGAAAGGGGATCAATTCTCAAAAAAATCAACTTAAAATTTGCAGCAGAACATGTCTTAGGATCCAGGATGCCTACACTGTTGGGTGAGACAATCTTTTACGATCCCTGCCTGCACTATGATTAGCCTCCCTACATTACAGTTAAGAAGTATGGGATTATAATGGAGTCCCACCCCAAACTTCTTGTTTTCCCCAGCTGCTAAGATGTTGGGTAGCACTAGGTAGATGAATTTCCCTTTAGGTTGTATATAAGGAGAGCCAGAAAGAGACCAGTCCACTACAGCTTAGCCACCAAAGCCAGAGCAGTGTGCTGGACAGCTCCTGGAGTCGAACAGATTGGCCAAAACCGGGAGAATGTAATTATTTGAGTTGTAAAGGACACTGTGAGTACAGAGTATGTTTGTGGCTGCTGGAAAAGATAGATAAAGCGAGGGAGTGGCTGGCTGTTGTGCCCCTCACTGGAGAATAAGGGATCACTGGCTATTAAACAGTTTGCCCAGCATCACATAGGACACTGATGGCAGAGCTGGAAAGTATTTAGAACTCAAAATAGAATGTTTAAACATAAGATTGACCTCCGTGAATAAGTTGTAATTGCTTTTAATACTTTCCTTATTCATAGTTTGTCAGCCACTTTAATGAACAGTTAAAAAATTGGTGCATATGAGCATTCTCTGTTTCCACTAACTGCAAGAACTTTTTTCCTGGTCTGCTTTGTATAATTCTTTCAAAGAGAAAATTTCTCTTCTTTTATCCATTCCACTTACAAATTACCAGCAAAAGTCTTATTCATTCAGGTTAATTTTTTTAAATGATTAACACAATGGCCAAGAAACCATTTCTGGTTTCAACACACTTGTGGATTCTACTCTACTTGTTCACTCTAAAAATCTAGGCTAAAACTTATTCTTGTTTGTTAAATTTTGAATTGTGAAGCCATGAATTATGTTCTGAAAATGGCCATCTATAACACCATTCAGAGTGTAAAGTTTGATTTAAATACTATTATAAAACATTGTACAACTTTAAAAAAATCTGGATTCATGATTACCTTTGGTCTGACTCCTGAGATTCCATCACGTTGTTACCTCCAAGAGCACTTTTCTGTAATAACAGTTCACACATTAACACTACTGTGCACCACTGAAAAAATTTTGACATAATAGTTTATATACTGAAGGAGTCTAGTTCTGCTCCATTTGTACTAATAATATAAACCACAACCTGAACATTCAGTTTTAAATAAATACTCACAATGAACTCTTTCAATTTGAAAGGATAGCACTGAATTCTCCAGGGTATGTTATGACATGCACAACTATAAAGAAGTGTCACATCACATAACAGAAGTCCAAGCTTTCTAAAAACTTGCAAAACGACACACAAATCCTATATTCTTTTTTAAAACGTGGCCACATTAACACTTGGAGCCCTTTCAAAAGGAGAATGTTTCAAAGGGTCAGCAGCTGGTATGTTTTAATAGATATATATGAGGAGGAGTTATGAATGATTTAAATGCAGCAAACCCACTCCTCACCACCACGAGCAAGGTGACTACGCACGTCACAAAAAGAAGCAATAGGTGGTATCAACTAATTTAATAACTACTGTTTTTTTTAAGGTTAAAAAGTGTAAGGTTGCCTTAAGTCTTCATTCTCCATGTATAACTGTTTTTGCTTATATTAATGACAGGGCTTGAAAAAAACAGTCCAACTATTTCCAGGGCATATACAGTCTAATTCCATAGGTGTTATGGCTTCATAGTATACAAACAAAAATCACAACCTTTTAGCTCTTATGTTTGTAAAATGAGTACCTTTGCAACTTGATAGCTAAAGTAGGAGCTGTTGTCTTCTTACATCTGCAAACACACAATTTTAATGCCTATGCTACCACTTAGACATTTGCTAAGCTGAAGCAGAGCAGAAACTAATCGGCTTTCTCATTCTGCACTGCTGCAACTCAGAACCAATGCTTTGCGGTGCAATTAAATACTGTCAGTCTTTCCTCAGGTGTTCACCGGTTCCCTAAACAGTAATAGCAGAAGTAAATGGGACTACACAGAGGGGTGGCTGCCCCAAAATTAAGCTAAATTCCACTAGTGAACTCTCATTTTACAACTATGCTTGCCACTGACATCAGTGTAAAAATTACTACTGTAACCTATCTGCACAGATGTAGCTGTCAAAAGGATTCTCTATTTGGTACTGTTCAAATCTTAGAGTTAGTCTCTGATCTGGAAAAAAACAATATCCAAGTTAAACAGACTAATACTGCAGAAATATTTATCTGGCTTATGCCTGGGAAATTTGCTGTAGCAGTTTGAAAGCATATCTGTGTGCTTATTTATAAAAGAAGTAGTCATCTATTCAATTCACAATTTCTATTATAAATGAACTACACGTCTCACATTGCATTATAAAAATAGGTACTCGAGTCTAGACTGGAGTTCCCAGTGTCATCTGACCTTCAGGGCTTCCCACAGATCCAAAAATCTGGTGGTAAGGGGCAGTGGCCTGCTGCCAAATTTTCAGAGCTGTAGGGAGCCCTGCAGGTTAGAGTGTGTGGCCCTGTGTGCTAGATTGGGTGAGCAGGGCCAGAATGGCAGTATGGGGCCTGATCTGGGAGTGCAGCACCCAATCCTGGTGCTCAGGGCTGGGGCAGTTGGTGAGGGGCCCAATCTGGGAACCCAGGGCCCACTTCTGTTGCATCGACTCTGCTCTTGGTGCATGGGGTTGGGTAGAGGTAGCATGGGGCCAATGCCAGACATATATGGCCAGCCATGGCTGTATGGGACTTGATCCAGGCATGCAGAGGCAGGGTGCATGACCTGATCCAGCCTACAGACTGGCCCTGCACAACTCAGGCCCATGGGGCCAAAAAGTTGATCACCTTTGTTCTAGATAATGCAAGTAAAAGAAAGGATGTACCATATGTATATGCAGCAACTCAAGACCTATGCTAAACTATCTAGACAGAAGGAATCTAACTATGCAGCTAGCTCTGTTAGATGGATGCCCTGGTTATATAGATGTGCTATCATGGATTAGACTAATAAAACATGATTTTAACCATTTTAAAAGGGAAGGGAGAACTACTGCTCTGCATATCAACTGTTAGTTGAGAGAGATTTCAGACAAAAAATGCTCTTCCCCAGTCCAGGGAAAGCAGCAGATAGTCTAAGCTATATACCAGATAATACTATGGCTTCTGCTTAACTGAGACTGTACCTGCTAACATCTCTCTCAACTATAGTTAGTTCAATAACCCTCCCACAACATTTACTTACTCCACTCCCCCCCCCCCCCCCCACACACACACATTGTTTCTATCATATTTCCTGGACCAACACAGCTACAACAACACTCCAACCCCCTTGACAGATTAAGTAACTAAAAAACTTGAAGTGTCAGTTGACAGAGTTCAGAGAAAAAAAAAAGTTTATTTTGCACTTGCATACTATGTTTGGGAGATCTTGACCAAAATATTCTGCATTAAATAAAACGTTAAACTGCACGATTCATACATTATAATTTAAATAAGTCAAGAGACAAAACTGGGTTTGTTTAATATAAGATGGTACACTTGAGAAGTCTTACTATAGAAGGATTCTTCCATTATACAGGACCTGTTTTTTTTAATTTTATCTACAAGGTGACAGAGCAACCTGTCTCTTGACATCATTTGCTCCAACTACTTAATCTTTTTAAAAACTGTATGAAATCAGTACCAATTCTAACCATTAGAGAACTTCTACCAAATTGAATATGTATAGAGATCAGTCTTGACCGCCATACGTTGCCATGCTGGCAGTTTCCCACAAGTAATAGCACCTGGATTATGCCCAGCTACTGTGTACACTTACAAGTAATTTCCCTGTTTACAGAAGCCATATAGCCCTGGGTAGCCATATAGAATAGATGCTCTATCAATATTTTATTAGGTGCATTTCAGAATTTCAACAAAACTTGCTACCCCTTAATGATGCTGATGTTACTTTGTAGTAAGGCAGATTACTAGAAGAGATCACAATACTAGCTTTGCAAAGACAAAATGCATGCATTGTAAAAAATATCCCTATAACGGATATATAAATATAGTAGAGCCCTGTGTTCACAGGCCTGGGTTCATTAGCTTTTGTGAAGATGAGGGTTTGTGAATTATACGTGGAAAGCTAAAAAATGCTGTGAGATCTGCATTAATGAATAGAAGGAATTCACCAATTGTATTGGGAAATAATTTCAAGGAGAATATGAGAGCTAGAGCGCTCATTTGCATAGTTGCTGACATGCAACAAACAACTGCCCTGGTGCTTGAGGTGGCTTGAAAAGCAGCAGGCAACTATAGGAAAACTAGACTCGCCCCCTCCATTTCCCATTGCCGTCACTGAATTGCAATAAGGAGCTGAACAAGTTACTGGCTAGTGTCACTCATATACAGCTTTGAAGCTTGTCCTTACTTCTGCAACCCTGATTCATGTGTTGTGCTGCTTGATTCAATTAGAATTCACAGCTGCTCACTGGGAATGAGAATAAAATGGGGCTGACATTGTGTGCTAGAGAGAGACTGTTAGTCTGAAGTTAGGTGGAAGGCAGGGTAGGGGGCACCTTTGGCCATGTATATTACATCTATTACACATGTATATTACACAATTCACTGGTGAATTGCACAATACATATAGATTGGTCACACATGCAAAGTAATTATCATATGATAAAAATGACTGGACAGCTATAAAGAGAGCCAATCAGCTATCAAGCCAGTGCTTGAAAACGTAACTGCTCTACAGCCAGTTTCTATCTAACTTTAATTTGAAGGTGTAGCAGGATTCCAAGGAATGGATTTGTTTGGAGAGGCCTGAGCTTCTGTGGCCTCCAGTCGACTCTGGCAGCCGCCACAAATAAATACCGTAAAAATCAGAGCAATGATACCAATTCTCACTCTTCAAATTAAGCTGGGGGCAAAGCCACTTGAGTAAAAACCCTCTGGGTTCTGTACTGTGCAGTGGCACTTCTTCACCTTCTCATGCTGTTGCAGTCTAACTGTGCCCTCAACACACAGTTAAAGCCCCTTGTTGGCCTGATAAGAGAAAGGTAAGGCAAAACACTGGAAAGAAAAATAAAAAGAAAGGGAGGGCTTATTTTGAACCTTCAGAAGAAGCATTAGAGAGGGAAGCAGGGCTTCCAAGTCAAGCCTGTCTTCAGAGCTTGCTCCCAGGATGGAGGGCAAGAGCAGGCAGGAAGTGGAAGCAGTGACCCAGCCATAGCACTGAGAAGCGGGCAGCTGAGAAGTCCAACTCTGTGAGGAAATAATTCTTGCTCTCTCTAGAGAGCGTGGCCCTGTGCATTGGATGGGACACGTGGGGCCTAATCTGGGCCTATTTGATACATTCAGAAATGTTGGTTTAGGCCTATCACAGACAACTATAAGCCCCCCCCCCCTAAAAAAAAAGAAAAAAAAAGAATGCCACTGAGAATGGAACAACTGATTGCTTGGGATAAATACAAAAAAGAAACCAGGAAATGGAGTGAGGGTTACAGGTTTGAAACAAGGGATCCAGAAAAGGACACCAAGCAAAGTATGCTGGCCAGTGTCCACTGCCCCCTGTATGAGTCAAGGGAGCCTGCGGATGCCAAGCAGCAAAACTCTGCCCGGAAACACAAGCAGACAAGCCAGAGGAAGGCAGCTCACCCAGGTCCCACCCAGCCAGAGCCTCCTTCCTGATCTTGTAGGTGGCCAGCCTGGCCAGAGCCAGAAGAAGGTTGATCAGGCTTATTTGATGCATATCGGGAACATGGGCCTCGCACCCACAGAGCTATAAGGTATGTATCACCTAAAGTCATGGGACAAAGAATATACAAAACAGGCATGGGAGTGATGATCACAGGTTCAGAACAAGTGCACCCAGGGGCACACAGACCAGAGTGTGCTGGACAGCACCCATGGGGCCTCCAGCCAGCCCAAGGAGCCAGTGGACACTGCCCAGTGAAACATGAAAGGACAGGGAAGCAGCTGCAGGGTCCTCCCGGCCACACTCTCTTCTCTGGTCCCATCTTCACAAAGGCCAATGAACCCACCTTTGAGTACAGGGCTCTGCTGTATTTATGTATCTATTACAGAGATAATTTTTACAGTGCATGCACTTTGTCTTTGTGAGGCTAGTATCATCATCTCTTCTAGTAATCTTCCTTACTGCCAATTAACATCAGCATCATTTCTAAGGGGCAGCAGGTTTTGTTGAAATTCTGCAATGCACTTGGAAGTCAATCGCCCGGCAAATACTGAGAAAGTTTCAGGTCTGTAAGGCTGCCTGCAAGGCTGAGGTTGGGTCCTTATTCCCCAGTCCTTATTTATGCATCTCTAATGAAATTCTCTCTCTAGCATGTGTAATCTCAGCCTCTTGTGGGCTCAGATCATACGCCTGCCTAGCAAGAGAAACACCGTGACCACTGAGGCGGTCCTCCTAGTCGTTCCCAGGGAAGACTGCTCTCCTGGCACGGGGATAGTACCTGCCAAGGTAATGTATAGTAAATCTCCTGCTTAGCTGCTGGAGTAGGAAGGTTTTGGCTTTATGCCTGCTTTATGGAAAGGGGAGACTCCTCCCTAGCTTGCTTCTGCGGCCTTATGGCTGAGGGCATGCAAAACTTGGGGGCATCTGAACCCCAAGCTGCCAGGGCTTGGGCCAGCAAGTAGGATCCTCGCCAAAGGTTTTGGAAACATCTGAAGCCCCTGGTGGGGGTGGAGGATGTTTGCCGGTAGCAGGACCACTTATGGACTGACTCGGATTTGGATTTTGCTTTGGCTGATTTGGCTTGGAACGTGGAAAATTTAATTAAAAAAAAATCAGGAATAACGCGCTTTTATTGGGTAGGAATTAGCTTTGAAAGAGGAACCGGGAATAAGGAACCGACCTCAGCCGCTTCAGGTATATAAGGCTATTGGGCGGCGGCCAGGAAGAGGCTGACCGGGAGGCCTCGGTGCGAGAGTCGGAAGCGGAGCCTCCCCTCCCGGCCCGGCCAAGCCCAGCCTCTGGCAAGCGGCGCGTCTCTTCAGAGCGCGCGGCAGGAACACAACACAACACTTCCCACCCTCCCCCCAGCCCGATCCCGAAGCGCGGGATCGCTCCCGCACTCACCGCCCGCGGTAGCGCCACCAACGGCTTTAGCAGCCGCTCAGCCACGCGGAACGCGAGGGGGTCACGTGACCCAGAAGCCCCGCCCCTCCCCGGCGACGGGCGGGGGAAGGCAGGAACTAGCGGGGCTGTTCTAGGAGAAGCCGCCGCGCATGCGCAGGGGGTTCGACTGCCCGTTCCTCTGTCTGGCTGCAGGGCCGGCGGCTTCTGGAGCCAGGGTGCGTCGTTGTGGGGAGGGCAAATTCCCTCCCCCCACATTGCTGAGCGAGCTCTGGCGGGACGGCGGGGGCGTGGGTCGGGGCCCGAAAGCTGAGGGCAGCCTCCTTCTGTGTCACCTCCCGTGCGACGGGCAGCGGGGGAGGGCGCTGCAGGCCGTGTTGCACGGAGGTTCTCGCCAAGGTGTGCTCAGGTGGGCGCTCCCTGCCCTGTCACCAGCGCTCTCGTTTTGAGTCGGATCGTTTGTCCCCTAGCAGGTCTCTGCCCCGCCACAGCTTCTGTCTGCCTTCTCAGCGGGGCTACCACAGCACCCCGGGGTGCCTCAAGCCCCTCTGGCAGTCTCTGGAGGTGTTAGCGCCTTTAGCCCAGAGGCTGCACATAAGACTCTGTGGTGCCTTTGCCCCCAGTGTGGGCTTTCTCCGATCGTCGCCATGGGGAAACTCACTTTGTTCCGTTCCCGTTGTAAAAAAAAAAACGGGGGAAGCTCGGGGCTGACCGAAGAAGGGGTCCTGGAGGCTGAAAAGGCCGAGAACCGCCAGTCTGGAGCTTCACGTCTAGACCCGAGTTGTGAATATGGAACGAAGCAATGGACAGAGCTGGGTGCTCCTATACCCAGCACTGCCTCCGCTCCATTCTGCTCAGCGAGACGGGCGTGAACTTAGCTTTGTGCCTGTCGTCGTGCTTGCAGATGAAACCGGGATGGCGCCCCTTGTGGTTTGCCCAGTCCTTGTACCAGCTCCCATCTTTTCGGTGACTGCATGTGGAGCTTCTTTTGGGTGTCATCACTTTTATTCCATATTGTAATAGTAAATGACTTAATAAGCCGTATATTTCTCTTGTCATTTCTAGAACTTGTGTTCTTGTAACTCAGCTTACGCTCTTCTGAGACAGCTTTCCACAGGCAAGCAGCATGTGGCATGTGTCCTGTTAGCAACAGGAATTGTAACTAGTTTCCAAAAGGTGAGAATAATCTATATACATGTATTATGTACATTAGATATTTATTATAAATATATTTACAATTTGTTACATAGATATTTATATATTATTATAAATATATCATTTTAAATATATTTACAATTTGTTTAAATATACACACATAATAAATATATAATTACTTTTTAGCAGGGGTTTGGGTTGTAGCCGTGTTGGTCTAAGGACATAGGCAGACAAGGGTCCTTTGGGGAATTTTATATCTTTTATTATGGTTGGAGAATAGTTATTAAGCAAGCTTTCGGGTTCGTCAGGCTAAGGAAGCTTCAGCAGTTGGTGTGTCCTTAGCCTGATGAAGGGTTTTTGAACCCGAAAGCTTGCTTAATAACTATTCTCCAACCATTTGAGTTGGTCTAATAAAAGATACCAAATTCACCCAAGGAACCTTGTCTGCCTAATTACTTTTTATTTTGTCACATGAATGCTTTTAGTTTTATATCTTGTAAATCAGCATGGGTGTGTACACGCACACTTGCACAGGGCTAGATTTTTGAACAGTGAGGCAATGTGTTGTGCAAGTAGAGGCAGTAAAAAAAAAAAAGATGCCCCACACACTGGAAACCTCATAAGAATCTGATCCACATAAGTGAATTACTGAATTGTTCTTGTCTAATGCAGAAGGGGAGCTTGGTATCTTATTTGCTTAATCATTATGTGCCTGCCTCTCT